AGTATTCAAAATGCATGAGTCAAGCCTGGAAAAGTCATATGATCATGATATTTAAGCCACTGTTTGGTTGCCTTCTGGCTTTAAGTTTTGAATCTTTCTAGGGTTTATATATTCAAGCATTTCTCTGCAACCCTGAGGATGAGAAACCTAATGTGTATTTTAATGAAAGCTGCAATTCTCACACCTCTGTCTCTTGCCTCCGTTTGTGTTGAGATGATGTCTAGGGCAGCTTAGGATCTGGCCCATTTTTGGACAGATATAAACAACTAAACAAGGTGCAAGGCATTGGAGAAGCAAACCTGTTACAAATAAGAAACTTCAACACCCGCAACCCGTAGTTTCAATTTAAAAAAATGAATGCATTTCTATCCTGTAGAAATTTGGATCCATTTGTTAAGGGTTCCTAGGAGAATAGTAGTTTGGTTTCCATTTTTCATTGAAAAAGGAGACAACATTGCTGGTAGAACAAGTTACTTTTTACATAACCAGTGAGAGAGAGAGAGTCAGCATACCTCAGCATTTTCAGAATTTCAGCCGTTGAAATTCCATATGCCAAATGTTGACATTCAAATTTTTATAGGTTTTGATGCAAGGCTTTTTTTTTTTTTTAAATACAAAAGCCAATAAAAAGATAGTTTTCAGGCTTCAAAGTTGCCTTAAATAAAATTCCAACTTTTTAAATTCTTAATAATTTACACCCACTATCATATTTCTTTACAAATGTTACTACATATATTTTAACTTATGTAGATGTGGTACAATTACACACATACACACACACTTACTTCAAGGTACTGTAACCACATCATAGATGCCAGAAGGGCTGGATAACAGAAGAGTCTATGCACAATACTCACACAAGCAGGTTGATACTTAAATAGAAAACATAATAGCTTTGATGAAGTCTTTGGAATCTATATTTTAGGGAATGATTGTTATATTTGTATGATGTTAAAAGTCTTTTAAACCAGTTACTTCAGTAATCTATTTGCACACCGACATGATACTGGACATATGAACAATCCCCTTATTTGGACAAATAATCACTTTTAATGTAGTTCATCTTTTAGAAAAAAGCCATTTATATAATCCAGGGGTCAGCAACCTTTGGCACGTGGCCCATCAGGGTAATCCACTGGCCGGCCACAGGACATTTTGTTTACGTTGACCATCCACAAGCATGGCCCCCCACAGCTCCCAGTGGCCACGGTTCGCCAGGGTATTACCCTGATGGGCCATGTGCCAAAGGTTGCCGACCCCCAATATAATCTTTAAAATGTACAGTAGGGACAGATATTTAAGACCTGATTAGGCCTTTGAGAGCCAAATACTTTCAGTAAGCATGAAGGCTCTGCTTCCTTTATATTTAAGAACAGATCAGTTAGGTATTTGAAGATTACATAGTGCATCAAGCAAGATCCTCCATCGGTGGTTTATATAGTCCATGAAATGAAATAATTCACAGTCTATGAACTTTTAAGGCCCTACTGACAATGAATAATGCAAAGACAGCAAGAATGAAAGTATCTGAGCCTAGTCTGCCCTAGAAAATTAGATTGGTATAACTACATTGCTCAGGGGTGTGAAAAATCTCATCGACGCATCTACCGCTTCTCAGGGAGATGGATTACCTACACTGACAGGAGAATCCATCCCATTGGCACAGTCTTTACTGAAGTGTAGTCTTCACTGAAGCACTACAGCAGTGCAGCTGCAGCATTTAAGTGTAGAAAAGCCCTTTTATGTGGTGTGGCATGTTGTTGTCCCAGCATGCCCCATCATGGCCAGATGTGGCATTGCAGCAGTGCTACCTCAATTTCCACCCCCCCCCCCCCCCATCCTTTGAGGTACCATGGCTGTAGAAGTGCCTTGGCCCTCAGCCAAACCCCTTTGTAGAGCTGCACCCCTGACAGCCTTTGCCTTCCTTTGCCAAAGTCCAACAAAAAATAAACAGAAAACCAAACCTTCAGCTCAGTTGGGCTCAGCAAGCCACCTCTTCCTCACAAGTAGCTTTAATCTGCTACACTTTGTCCCTACCCCAAGCCTCGGGCTCCTGTTCCCTCAACAACCCTAATGTTCAGGGGCTGGCACACTCCTCCCCTCACTCAGGGATTCATGGAGACTACAGTTTCATAGATTCATAGATATTAAGGTCAGAAGGGACCATTATGATCATCTAGTCTGACCTCCTGCCAATGCAGGCCATAGAATCTCACCCACCCACTCCTGCAATAAACCTCTCACCTATGTCTGAGCTATTGAAGTCCTCAAATCATGGTTTAAAGACTTCAAGGTGCAGAGAATCCTCCAGCAAGTGACCGGTGCCACATGCTGCAGAGGAAGGGGACAAACCCCCATGGCCTCTTCCAATCTGCCCTGGAGGAAAATTCCTTCCCGACCCCAAATATGGTCATCAGCTGAACCCTGAGCATGTGGGCAAGACCCTTGTCTCCAGCTCATCCCTGGAGTAGCTTGTTTGCTCTCCTTCCTCCATTTCAGCCTTCTTTCAGGCTGCTTGCAAGAGAGAGAGCACACAAGCACATACATACATACATACACAAGTGAGTACACATGCACACTTCCCACCTTCATTCCTGTGAGTCTTCTTCCTTCAGCTGGGTTCACCCACCTCTTTATGGCAACAAGCTCTATTTTCCCCCATCTGAGATTTATTTCCAGTTAGGCCTGGCCCACCCTCTGGCGCAAACAGGCTGGTTAACTGGCTCTCAGGCCCATATTAACCCTTTCCCTCCAGCAAACCATCACCTACCAGCCAATTTTTTCTCCCTCCTCCCTATCTGTTGTTTTGATAGCTCTGGCTTTTTCTGAATCTCTCCTACATGGAATCTTCCCCAACAGTTTCAGTATCTCTTAGGATCACAGCAGCTTCTTCTAAGTACCTCTCCACAGGAAAGAAGTCTCCACAGGGTACTCTGAGAACCTCGCACAGAACCTACGTCTCTCTCTGATCACCTTGATGTTTGTTGAGTAACCTATGTACTAACCCTTCTGTCCTGGCAGTGTGGGGAGTGGCAGTAGAATGAGCAGCCTGGGTACTTTATTGTTGCAGAATTCATTCGGTGCTTTGGTTTATAATTTAGATACATAACTATGTATCATAATTTCCCCAAAAAAGCAATATGAGTATGATACCAACCGCTTGCTGTTTTAGTTTTAAACTATGAGAAAACTATAAAAAAAACAAAAACATTAAATGTAGGTTGCTTATGGCTGTACATACACAGTGCTATAAAATGAGAAAATTAGGAGATTAGTAGCTGCTTTAGATATTCTGCTAGATCAGAAGTTTTAAACAAAGTTCTTGAAACCATGTTCAGGTTGTACAAATCTGCCTTCACTAGTTAATGGTGGCCACCAATTCCTTACAACCAGCAGCTGTTCAGTAAAACTCCTAAACAGAGCAAGGCAAGAGAAAGAAACACAGAATATCTTCCTTTACACCTTTTACGTCTTTCCCCAGAGGGCCTCCTAAAAAGATCATTAGTAATTTGTTTCTTTTACAAATCAGTCCTTAAAATGTAAAGACATTTTCTGTTTGGTGAGGCACTTTATATGTTATTTTGTGGGACCACAAAGGAGTTTAATTTAAAAAAAGATCATCTGATCCACTGAGAACAGGATAACCAGTGTGCTTAGCAACCTAGGAAGCAATCAGAATTCCCGAGCAGAATGGCCTGAAACTTACTTTGTGAGAGAAAGTTTCATTTTACCACTGCAAATCTTTTAAACTCAACGACCTCATGCAGTATCAAATGGCTTAGGGAATACTACACTGTAGGATGTTCACAAAGGTTAATGAAACAAAGGGGGAAGTTAATGCACCACTCAGAGCAATATTAAGGGTCTATCTATGCTACAAGCACTACAGGAGCACAGTTGTAGCACTGCAGCGATGCCGCTGGAGAGTTATAGCATAGACACTTGCTACAGCAATGGAAGGGGTTTTACCGTCCCTGTAAATCCACCCACTAGAGAGACTGGAGCTAGGTGGAAGAAGAATCCTTCTGTCCATCGACCTAGCTGTGTCTACGGGATTAGGTCAGCCTACTTATGTCATATAGGGCACAACATTTGTTGCAGCCTTAAGCAACGTAGTTAGGTGAACCTACATTTGAGGTGCAGGCCAGGCCTAATTCAAATTAAGATTTAAATTAACAACAACAACAAAAACCTACTTGTTCAGCTGTGATTGAAAGGTACTTGGTAGATTTAAAACAAACTGATTGATTTTTAAAGCTGGTTACTAAGTGTACACTTCTAAAGAGTTAGTTCTTATATTAACAGCAGCTCTTTTCTCATTCAATTTTTCCTAATTATGTAAGTCACTCAGACCAATATACCAGGTCAGGATATGAGATCGTCTTACATTTTCCACTGTTGTAACATAATTATAGTAAATTTGTTATGTAATATTGTAAGTTTTAAATATAACTTTCCTAAAATTAGTAGCAAGCCAAAAACTTTTAAAATAAAATTGGATTTTTAGACATATTGGACATTTCTCTTTGTTTACTTCTTCACCAAGAATCTGAACCATTGCAATGCCACAATATATATGATTTAGGTCTCCACTTTTATATACTGCAATTCCAATACTTAGTAGATACAGCTGTTCTTTTCATCTAGTGTAGTGCCCAGTGGATACTAAAAATATTTGTTGAATCAGTTTTTGTCTCAATTCTGCTTCAGCCATAATGGTTCTTCTGCAAATTTTCTCCTAGATTGCATTGTCACTTATTAGAGCAATACTTCATTTTGTTTTACAAACATTCATGGAGGTGTGTAAAAATATTTCATTTGAAGCCTGTGCATTAGACAGTTGCTTGATTAAATAAAATTAATTATAAAATGTGTCTCTGATAATCTCAAAGCCAATACTGTTGTTTCACAGTTGCTTCCTACAGGTAAGTCACTGGTATTGATTTTATTGATTAATACTGATAGCTGTGTTCATTCACCCACTTTGCTGATTTTTCTAGGTACACCAAAATGAAGACTGCCACCAATATATATATTTTCAACCTTGCCCTGGCAGATGCCCTAGCAACAAGTACTCTGCCATTCCAGAGTGTGAATTACTTGATGGGAACATGGCCATTTGGTACAATCCTTTGTAAGATCGTTATATCCATAGACTACTACAATATGTTCACAAGTATCTTTACACTCTGCACCATGAGTGTGGATCGCTACATAGCTGTTTGCCACCCAGTCAAGGCTCTTGATTTTCGCACTCCCAGAAATGCCAAAATTGTCAATGTCTGCAACTGGATTCTTTCTTCAACCATAGGTCTGCCAGTTATGTTCATGGCAACCACAAAATACAGGCATGGTGAGTCTGACTTTCATAACTGGGGTTGAGTTAAACTGAATGTTTAAATGCTCACTTAAAACCATAAGGTCTCCAGACTTATGGTTTTAAGTCTTATCCTCCACATCTACTCTGCCCCTCCAAAAAACAAAAATCTATATTTACAAAATATACACCAAGTACTGCAGATGAACACATATGTAGATGAAGCCTGTCACGTCATGAAATGTACACAAACTATAGTTGACAAGTAAGGAACATACTTTCAAGAGCTTTTGTTTCTTAAAATATGCTTCCAGTTTTCATGTAAAAAAAATTATTATTGACCTATTAAGAGCCTCATCCAAAGCCCAAGGAAATCAGTGGAAAGACACTCATTGACCTAGGATCTGATCCTGAGCCAACTGAAGCTAGTAACAAAGTTCCCATTGATTTCAAAGGAAAGAGCCTTAATGCACCGGATCAAGCCTTAACTATCAAAAAGTGTGCAGGGCACCACTAGTACAAACCAAAGCATTTACAGTCTAATCCTGCAAACAGATTTCCCCACACTGACTTTATTGGAACTCCTCATGGGGTTCAGGAGTCCCAGATAGCCAATCAAGTTCCAAGTAAAAATATGACCGGGGGGGGGTGTAGGACAGCGGAAGGATGATAGAAAGAATAGGATTACAGAGACAAGAGCATGAGTTAGCTTAGTGATACTGCACACAATCTGAAGATATGGTTTAAGAACGTAAGGATGGCCCTACTGTGTCAGACCAAAGACCAGTATCCTGTCCTCTGACAGTGGCCAGTGCCAGGTGCCCCAGAGGGAATGAACAGAACAGGTAATCATCAAGTGATCCATCCCCTGTCGCTCATTCCCAGCTTCTGGCAAACAGAGGCTAGGAATACCATTCCTGCCCATCCTGGCTAATAGCCATTGATGGACCTATCCTCCATGAACTTATCTATTTCTTTTTTGAACTCTGTTATGGTCTTGTCCTTCACAATATCCTCTGGCAAGGAGTTCCACAGGTTGACTGTGAAGAAATACTTCCTTTTATTTGTTTTAAACTTGCTGCCTATTAATTTCATTTGGTGACCCTAGTTCTTGTACTATGAGAAGTAGTAAATAACACTTCCTTATCTACTTTCTCTACAGCAACCATGATTTTACAGACCTCAAACTTATCTCCCCTTAGCCATCTCTTTTCCAAGCTGAAAAGTCCCAGTCTTATTAATCTCTCCTCATACGGAAACTGTAAGGTGTTATGTTAACTTGCATTACGGTAATAGCTGTGTGCACAACTTGTTTGTGTATATTATATATGGAAGGCATTGTATGTCACTTCCCCTCTTTAAATATTTGAGAACTTTGGCTTAGATCACTAAAGAGCTTTGTTCTCGTTGTATGTATGTGTGTGCACACACACACACACATACACATACATATATTAGATGCACAGAAATGCTGTAAATAAAGTTCTCCTATGACATATAAAGCACCTACAATGCAACTCAGATTTTGCCTATTCTGCCTTTATAAAAATATTCCTTTTTTATTACAGAACTTATTTTTGTAATCAAGCACACTCACCTAGTGATTTACATTCACCATAATATAAAACATTACATTTCCCTCATATGCCAGAATATAATAGCATATTAGCATTTCAGAATTTCTTTTTAATGAGCACATTAACAGGAAATATTACCCAGAATAACACCAGAGCCATGTCGAAAACTCATCTGCATAATAATTCTAGCAAACGCAGAAGTAGATCCAGGACTAAAAAAAGAAAAGCCAACAAGATATGAGAGCTAAGATATTGATGCTGTGGAGCAGAAGTATCTTCTACGGCTTGACATTTGGGAGTTGTGGCTACCAGCCAAAGAGCAAACAAAAGAAAGGAACTTCACACTGGAACATGAGTAGCCACTATGATTGTCACAATTTAGAGTTAAACAGATGAGTTGTCATGGTTAAGATAATTTAAACACACATGTAGAAACGCAGATTAAGAACTCCAAGTGCAGCAATAATACAAATGAGAGGGAAATCTGAAAAATCCACAGATGTGGAGATACCCATTTTATGGTTTGAGGGCAGTGTGGAAAATCTTGCATTGCAACTGCTGTCTTTATGTGGATAACAGAAAAAGAACTGCCTAGCCAATACATTTCATGTGTGTTAAATACATTAAATTGCAAAGAAAACACTCTCAAAAATATTTATGGGAATCTCTTGAGTTCTACCATTTGGGATTTCATATAAACACACAAAATCACCTTCACTCCCAACATTCAGTGGAAATATTTATCACATTTGATCTGATTGATGACATCTTACCTGATCATTTCAGCCAGCGAGTTATGTTTCTGAATGTGTATATTATTATCCATGTTTAATAAGACTGGTATAATCACCTCCTCTCCAGCCTTCCTGGGCTCTTGCCTCTCTACTCTAACAATCAGCAGCTAAATTAATCTTCCTTTCCCTCCCTCAGCCATCCATGCACTTCTTTAAGGCCTCAAACCTTCAAGGTGCTGACCACTCTGAGCCTGAGTCAACACAGCTCTTATGCACAAATGTAAACACTGTAGTAACTAGGGATGAATGGCTAGGCAGCAGTTCTGCGGAAAAGGACCTAGGGGTGACAGTGGACGAGAAGCTGGATATGAGTCAGCAGTGTGCCCTTGTTGCCAAGAAGGCCAATGGCATTTTGGGATGTATAAGTAGGGGCATAGCGAGCAGATCGAGGGACGTGATCGTTCCCCTCTATTTGACATTGGTGAGGCCTCATCTGGAGTACTGTGTCCAGTTTTGGGCCCCACACTTCAAGAAGGATGTGGATAAATTGGAGAGAGTCCAGCGAAGGGCAACAAAAATGATTAGGGGTCTGGAACACATGAGTTATGAGGAGAGGCTGAGGGAGCTGGGATTGTTTAGCCTGCAGAAGAGAAGAATGAGGGGGGATTTGATAGCTGCTTTCAACTACCTGAAAGGGGGTTCCAAAGAGGATGGCTCTAGACTGTTCTCAATGGTATCAGATGACAGAACGAGGAGTAATGGTCTCAAGCTGCAGTGGGGGAGGTTTAGATTGGATATTAGGAAAAACTTTTTCACTAAGAGGGTGGTGAAACACTGGAATGCGTTACCTAGGGAGGTGGTAGAATCTCCTTCCTTAGAGGTTTTTAAGGTCAGGCTTGACAAAGCCCTGGCTGGGATGATTTAACTGGGAATTGGTCCTGCTTCGAGCAGGGGGTTGGACTAGATGACCTTCTGGGGTCCCTTCCAACCCTTATATTCTATGATTCTATGATTCTATGGACTTAAGCATGTGCTTTTTGTGAGCGTGCAGGTGACTGTGACAGACTGCTGGGAGCTAGCAGCTGAGCCAGCACTCTGGTCACTTTGCATACGTTTACACAGGGATTAAAAAAATGGCGATTGGCCTGGGCCAACTGGCTTGGGCTCGGGCTCTTGGCTGAAAAATTGCTGTGTAGATGCTCAGGCCGCACGGTCCCAGAGCTCAGGCTCTGGCCCGAGCCCAGTGTCTCCACAGCAATTTTTCAGCTCGGAGCCTGAGCCCTGGGAGCCAGAGTCAGTTGACCTGGGCCAGTCACAGGTTTCTTATCCCTGCATAGACGTATCTTTAGGGTTTCTCTGGGGAAAGTAGTTAGTGCCTGACTTGGGGGGCAGAAGACTGTGGGCTGATAAGCTATGAAGCTAACTATTCCATCCGCTAATAAGATAGTTAAAAACCAAAAGAAGGAAGTGCAAAGGGAGGAGAGAGGGCTAGCAGGGCCCTGGGGAAGCCAGGTTGCTGGCTGGTGAGATTGCTTTGTCTTCTTCTCCTCCCTGGAGAAAGGGCTGAGGATTGAAGGACACTCTAGGTAAAAGTGCTGCACAGGAATTTTGATGATGGCTTGGTGGAGGAAACAAATGAAAACAGAGGTGCTGACAATAAAGAGGTGGTCCAAGACTGTTTTCAAGGGACCCCAGGGAGGGAGAGATGCCTGCCCTGTTACAATGGTCCAATTGATTTCAGTGTGTGTAAGCATGTGTCTATGTGTTTTGCTGGATCAGGATAGCATGCAGGTCAGCACCTTGCAGGACTGAGCCCCAAATCTCTCCAATGCCGTCTTGTCTCATTTTGCATAAAATTCAAACTTCTCCTGACTTTTGAGATCCCCTGCTTGCAACTCATCTCCTATCACTCCCTCTGCTTCACCCACTCATCTTGTTGCTCCCCTCCTCCCATTCTTGCTTTTGTGTCTTTTTCATGCTGCTTTCTACAGCTGGAAAACCATCCTCCTTCCTCATTGTTCTTTTAACCTCCAAATCCTCAAAACAAAACACTGTTTAAACTGCCCTGTTTCAAAAGATTTCATGCTGAAACTGAAAATTGGCCCAAGTTTGTTTGTAAACCATAAGTGAACCTTTTGACAAAAAAAACAAAGCAAGAATCTTTTGGTTTTGGCTTTCAAACAAAAACGTCACAACTCTCTAGCAATAACACTGCATTCTTCAGGAGATGTACAGACCTGTGGTAAAGTACCTGCATGGCTGCAAACAAACATGCATCAGCCATTCAAACTGTTTTGTTTCAGTTACTCATTTTATAAAATTGCATTGTACAATATTGTGGGGCGCGGGGAGGGGAGGAAAAGACTAAAGCAAAGCAAGTTAAACACTGAACTGTTCACTCTTCTCTATAATTTTGTTTTACTTTAGGTTCCATTGACTGCACTCTTACGTTCTCTCACCCAGCTTGGTACTGGGAGAACCTACTGAAAATCTGTGTATTCATCTTTGCCTTCATCATGCCAGTCCTGATCATTACCGTGTGCTATGGCTTGATGATTTTACGCCTGAAGAGTGTCCGCATGCTGTCTGGCTCCAAAGAGAAGGATAGAAACCTGAGGAGAATCACGAGAATGGTCCTTGTAGTGGTGGCGGTGTTCATTGTCTGCTGGACTCCCATCCACATTTATGTCATCATTAAAGCCTTGATCAATATTCCAGAAACTACGTTCCAAACAGTCTCCTGGCACTTCTGTATCGCGTTAGGATACACAAATAGCTGCCTTAATCCAGTCCTTTATGCATTTCTAGATGAAAACTTCAAAAGATGTTTCAGAGAATTCTGCATTCCCACTTCCTCCACTATCGAGCAACAAAACTCCACCCGCATCCGACAAAACACTCGTGATCATGCCTCCACTGCCAATACTGTGGATAGGACTAACCATCAGGTATGACTAGCAGTGGAGATGTCATCTCTGGATTCAGGCCTCCCTCCTGGAGATGACATGTATTCCGAAGTTACAGTCTTTACTGATTTATAGGTATCAGGAGGTAGCTTGGTTTATCTTTACAGCTGGTGTACACGTACACACAACCCAATCCAGTGAGATGCTAAGTGCTCGCAATACCCAATGAAGTTTGGAAGTAGGGGGTTCTCAAAAGGACTTTGCATGATCAGGCCGTGTGTGTGTGTGTGTGTGGCTGCGCACACACACCCACACACACACACAGAAAGAAGCCGAATGGTCTTACTTACAGAATGGTTGCAACTGCTGAACATTCTGTGAATGACTGATGAAGGATCATAGACTTTTCTATTCACACCACTAGTGCATGGTGGTAAGCCAAATAGATATCCCTATCCTCCTCCCATTTTAAAGATGACTTTCAAAGGCAGAAAATATATTTGTGCAATCTTTTTGCTTCTTTATGGTCTATGAAGAAGTTCTGAAAGGTCCTGTTTTTCCTGGAAGTCTATGCAAGCCTGGGCCCAGTCGTCACACAGTTTTTGTACCAGTACAACTATGTTGGTTAGAAGTGTGATATTTTTAACCTATATAGTTATACAAGTGAAACCCCCAGTGTGGGCACAGTTCTGCCAGTATAAAGAAGCTTTGTAACCCCTTCCCATAGAAGAATAAGTTATTACAATGCAAGCCAAGTTTATGACAAAATAAGTGCGTCCACACTTGTTGTGGGGGGGAGGTCTGTGCCACTTCAGCTATACTGGTATAATTAAAGCAGTACAACATGTGTGTGAAGACTGGCCTTAAAGAACGAGTAGGTTTATGGCATCACAGGTACCAAGGAAATCAAACTGGATTTATTGAGAGGGGAAGAGATTTTTATTCAAGCTGTTTAAAACGCTGGGGTTTGTTTTGTCTTTTTTTTTATTGACACCTATTTAATTCAATTGTCAAACTGCTGGATAAGAAGCTCTTCTGTTCGTGATTCAACACCCATGCTCCTGTAATTAGGTCTGAGAGCTTCTATTCCACATCTGAGTCTTCCCCGGGAAACATCAAGCTAAACAGGGAAAGAAAAACGTAACATTCCTGTGATCAAAGAAATGAAGCAGAAAAATAAACCTTTATCAAGATCTTCTGAGTCTTCTTTACAATTCACATAAAAAAGAAAAAGGGCACAAAACCTGCTGGTGCTGAGTAGATTCACACCCCAACTTGCTGCAAACATTAAGTGTTTGTGTAGACTGACCCTTAATCAGCAAAAGCACTCTGTTTCCAGTATAAGCGGCATCTACAGTACACTAGGAGGGTTTGACAGAACTCTCACTATAGCTATACCAACAAGCCTTTCTAGTGTAGACAAAGCCTTAGAGGGGATTTCGTATGAGTACTAATTCCTTAGACTGCTCAGCACAATTCATATAATTTTCAGTGGAACAGACAAAGGACCCTAACAAAGTGCTGACTGAATGCTCTTAACTCCCACTAAAGTTAATGAGAACTGAAGGCACTGAGAACCCAAGCAAGATTAAGCCCAAAGTGCTTGAGACTTGAGCTGCTTGGGAATTTGACAAAGAATTGTGTGTCAGAAAGTGACAATTCATTGAATTGTTCCGAAAAGATGGCAGTATCTCACTTGCGTTCATTGAAGTAGGTGCTCAGATACTGTGGCAATGACAATCAATTAGCTAGAAATGAATCCATCAAAATGAATTGGACTTTTCAGAATTCAGCAGTCATCATCAACACAATTTGTTAACAGCTGATCTTTGTTAAGATAATCAGCAGCTGCCAAAAAGAATAATAAAAGGTCTTTTTCAGTAACAATAGGATCATTAGCATTCTTGATGCAGGAAAAATATTCAAGCAGATTTTAACCTAGGAAACAGAATCCTGCAGATAGTGTTCACCTGACTGGGGTAAGAAGTGATTTTAAAATCTTTGGACCAGATTCTTAGCTGATATTAACCCGAATAGTCCCATCAAATTCAACAAAAAGCTATTATGCCATTTACACCAGCTGAGTGTCTGACCTTTCCTTTATACTCCATACCTATGCTGGGTCATTCATAGAAGAGTCCAAAGTACTTTAACATTAAGCAGTTTTATTTGGGGAAAGGGACTTCCTCAGGATCCCTCCATTCCTTCTTTGCTTTTTATTCCTTCCTCACTTATACATCACTGTAAGTGCATTTATACATTTATATACAGCCCCACAGTCAAAAAAAAAAATCAAAGTGTGCCAAGCTTCCCTTAACCAAGAAGGTTTAGACAAGTACTCACTTCAGAACCCATCAGCTCCATCCCTTGAGTTAGCCAGGGAGAACCACCGAAGAGTGACACAAGTTGCTTCATCTCCCAGGAGCGGAGCATGCCACCCTTACATTATGCCCAGTGTTTGCAAGGTAGAGTAGCCCCTATCTTTTTTTTCCCCTGTTAAATTATTTTGCACCATCTCAGAAGTATGCTGTGGATCAAATTCTGCTTTGTATATCTTAAGGGAGAACTGCACCTTATATTATTAAAAATGGGCATAGCCACACTATAAATAATAGCATACTTCAATTACTATAAAGCATTGTGTGTGTGTGGGGGGGGGGGGAGGGTTCCAATGGAATACTCCTAAATAACCTTGTTGGCAGAAAAGTGTCATTTTTGTGAATGTTTATTGCTAAATTCAGCAGCTCTTTAGAACTGGGCCCTATTCTGAAGCTCTATAACTGTTGTACATGGAGTGGCTCTAGAAATGAGCCCATTGCTTTTTCTCTAATGTATGTGATTCTCAAATCTGTTTGGCTTACTACTCATGAAGAAAATCAAGAATAAATGACACTCGGTGGACTGGAACTAACTGATTTTCTTATAAAAATGCATGCAATTGCTGAAGCTGGTTTTTAAAAGTGTGAAATGAACTAAATGATCAGGAAACACACATGTTCATTAGTATATGAAAAATGGAAAGCTTTAACTGATCGATAAAAGTTAGAGATGGGCCTAAGCCACAACATTCATTTTTGGATGCAGATTTCCCCAAAGCATGGGAATATTCAGATTTGAGGATTATAATCCATTTCTAACTAAGTAGCTGCTAGTGGAATTTCCACCACAGAGTTGCAGACAGAGCTGAAATAAAGCTTGTGAAATTTTGACACTGCTAAACCTAAATTTGAGCTCGGGTTTGACCTCAGGTCATATCTTATTTTAAACCAGGAGTTAAAGAAAACATCTCCTTGCTGAAAGAAAAGTAAGAGGCTCCTCTCCTGTGTTTCACTGGGTGAGCAGGGCTGCCCTGAAGCACCTCTTCCTCTGTGACTGGTGCAGGGAGAGCTTCTCCTTTCCTGTTTCAACCAAACCAGTGGTCTAAGTCTAATCAGGAGCTCTACTTTTTGAGCAACAAACACTTCATTTGGAAGGTGTTTCACCTTGATTTCAACTTGCTACAACACTGAAAAATATATGTCAGAGCATAGAAATGATAAATGGCTTTCAAGGAGAGAAAAACTGGCAGGTTTTGCTGTTGAAATTGTTGGTAGTGCCCTTCTGCACAGGTGCAGCACTGATCACAAAGAAAACTATAGCTATCTACCATATGATATGCTATTGGGGGCTTCGTGGGCGGGGGATTTAATTCCCGTCTCAGACTGAACTTTTGGACTATTACAGATGAACTATAGAAAAGTTAAAACTCTTAATTTAGCAGAGTGACAATTGATTGTATTTGGCACAATAGGAAGCAAAAGCTTAGAAGAAGATGCTCATGTATCACAGAGAACACTAACTTTTCAGCAATGACTGCAAAAAGTGCATTGAAGGGACCAAAGTTGTTCTCTACTAATGAAATTCACATAGGATTCTCCGTACAGAAAGAAAACTGCCACCATTATGTACTTGGCACGTAACGTATTCTAGTTTAAACATGGTAACATAGGGTATGTCATGGAGAAGACATTTCTCTATTTTAATTCCTCTGTTGTAAACATATTGGGCCGGATCCTCAGCTGGTGTAAATCAACATAACTCAGTGGAATTCAATGGCACTATGTCGATCCACACCAGCTGAGGGTCTAGCCCACTCAAATATGTGAGTAAACAATTAAATGAACACAATTGTTGCCACCTTACGTTACTGAGAACCAGCAAGAGGTTTTAAGTGGAAGAACTACTCTTATTTTGAAATCAGAGTCAGAACACTAGCTCAAACCACAATTTTTGTGGTAGTTTCCTCTGCCTTCCTGATGTAAACCGAAAGGAAATTCTTGCCTTCAGCTTTGCACAGTGAGAGAGTAGCAGCAAATGCCGGGTAAATTCACCCAAACAAAAATATTTGCCAGCAACACATGGGAGGGGAAATCAATGACCTACTCATGGTATTTACAATTTCTTTCCTTTCAGTTGGAACTTCTGGAAGCTGAAGCCACACCGCTGCCATGAGAGGGTGTCCTGCCGCATAGCCTTCAAAGCAATCACAACACCAGTGCCAAGGTGTGTTTGTGGGGAATGTGTAGGAGACACTTCTTCCCTCCTGGAGGAAAGTGCTTGCTTTTAAAATCCATAAAAGTAATTTGCCACGAAGCAAATCTGCACGGCTCGTTACAGAAGCATGAAACCTAATAGCAGGCAGAGTCAGATGAAACGGGGGCTTAGCATGCTCCAGTGTACAAAATATACATATTCATCCAGAATATATACATTTATCTAAAAGGGGAATACTGGACATTAGTGGGGTCAGATGGCCTGCGTTTTGCTCTGAATGGTTACAGTAGCATTAGGTTGGAAGCAAAAACTCAAAGGATGGACAAATATAGGCTGCTTAATGGAGGTGATTTTCTAATAAATGGAAGCAGAATTGCATACAACACAGCAAGGGATATTTTGGAACAGTTTCAGCTAGAAATGTGCTTTCTAATGGTGTTTTCTTGCATCGGTTACAACACGGTTTTTATATGAACAATCATCACTTAATCAGCTACAATAACAAAGGAGATCAAAGCTACCTGTGTCACACAGAGAACTTTCTCAAAAAGTATGACCCTTTCAGCATTTTAATGGAAAATTACTCACTTTTTTCAATGCTCACTTCAAAAACCCAAACCTTAACCTCCTTTTCCACTTTTAACATACAAAAATATTTTACCAATAAAAAGAATGCATTGTCATTTGTTCAGGAAGAAGCAAGTGGGAATAACAGTTGGAAAGGTTTGATGTTCCTCTGAGTTGTTGTTGCTGGTAAAATGGATCAATAAAGGGACTGCAGCTTTTTCTGTAAATTCCATTGTGAATATATGTATATTGTTAATCTTTTCAGAGCTAGCACAGTGTGTTTATAAATTCTCTTTGAGCTAGTTTCTCCAGTTTCACCTGTCCAATCAGTAACATCTCAGACACATCCAAATACTCATTTTTTGTATAGCACTCTGGGATCCTTCAGGATGAAAGGACCTATATAAAATGTGAATCACTATTGTTAAATCTGTGACGAGCTTAAGCAAATGCAGAACTCACTGTAGGTCTTTTTTAAAAAGAAAAACAGTAAAGTTACATTTTGCAAGTAAATTAATTTTTTAAAACCAAGCCCATAACATTTATGTTTTTCTAATCAATGTAATAAAATTGTAGTCTCTATTTCCATTTTCTGTTGGCTGCTAAAGCACTTTAAAATGTACAAAAGAAACACTGTGCAGAAGCAATTGCTGTGTAACCTGCTCTCTGGTATAAAAGACAACTATCCGTGTAGATAAATTTGTGGTAATATGGTATTTTGTAGCCACTATTTGGTATTTGCTGTATATAATTAAATGGTCAAGTTATTCATGAGGCAAAACGTACTTACATGAATTTACGTGCATTGTAAAATAAAACCTACTCTCCCTCTTGTAATTAAAGTGCATATAAAATTCTAATATTATAGTGTGAACATGTTTGTTTCTGTCATGAATAGTGTAATACAGATGGAGAGCCAAACTCCAATCTGGTATAAATCAGGGTAGCACTACTGAAGTCAATGAAGCTACATCAATTCCTTCCTAGCTGAGTATCTGACCGTGTGCATCAGTAGAATACATAAAATGGAACCCATTTGTTTCTTTCTGTTGAAAGCTGCCTCATGTTGCCACAGAATTTAATCCAGGGAAGCCACCTCTTGCAGTTACACAAAACTATGAACCTCTCGCATGGGTCATCTTTACAACAACAGATTTCAAGGAGTAAGTCCTTGATCTGGTTGCAATGATGGGTGAGCCTTTAGAGAGGAATGTGATGCACACTTTGCTAGTATATTTTATTATTCCTTGGCTGACAGCAAGAAGTAGAATCATCTCACACATTATCTGTACCAGGAAGGAAAACTGAATAATCCTCAGTCTGCTTGGTTACTGACCAACACCAACAATGTCACCATTCTGCTATAGTCCATTTAATGGAGTTTAAGAAACTCCAAGTGAAATATAAAGATCACCAACTTCTTAAGCCCCTAGTGGTAAGCCAGAAGAGCAATATATTAATTAAAAACAGAAGTCATGGCTTCCTGCACTCAGTTTTCCACTCAAAGTGCTTAGTTATTTAAAACCCCAGTTTCTTTTAGACTGGGAATGGAATAATGTCCACTCTTCATGGTTAGTCAAATATTTTAAAAATGTGGCTTCCTACAGTTCAATAATTAAGTACTTTTATCATTATTCAGTGTGAATACCTATTAGCAGACATTGTAGTGAAGCATGAGAAGCATTAGAAAAGTGCATTTCCTTCATTTCTGGCAATGATTTAAAATGTCACAAATTACTATGTGACTTTTTGTTGCAATGCATTAATAAAAAATAATTGTGCTTTTCATTCATGCACCATGTACTGTATTCCAAATGGCATCCATTCAACAAAAACATCTAAAGGCTTGTCTCAGTGTCCAAGCTTTAATAAAATGGAACCATTTTATTACCTCATTAGGGGACAAACACAGTGTAACCAAGTTCCTTGATATTTGTTTGTGGACAGGCCTTTTCGGATACAAATGTCACACTTCTGGCACCCTAGTATCCTGCCACATGTCCTCAACACAGTTCAGTTGAGAATAGTAAAAATGAGTGCTTAAAGTTGGCTCCAAAATAAATATTTGGGAATGTAAACAAGTGACCACATTTTCAGAAGTGCTCCAGTAGAGTCACCTTGAAGGATCATGTTCTTAACTATCCAGCTGCTTTCGAAGAAAATCAATGTTCTTTGTGCAACAATGGAAATTTCTTATGTTTTATTATAAAAACAAAACATAGGGGCTAAACTCTGCCTGGACTTGCACCGCATGAAACCATGCTGAAATTACGAGTGTTACACAGACTACTGTGTTAAAACAGAATATGATCCCTGTCAGTCAAGCAATATACAAGTTAGGAAAATTATTTTTACACATGTAAAGTATAACAAATTCCAAATAATGTAAGTAATACCCGATTATTTGCTAGTTACACAAGCTGACTCCATGCATTCTCCTCCCCCAACTTGGAAGAATTCTCAAAGACTTTTGGTCATATATAGTATCCAGCTACTATAAATTACTGCAGTACTGTACTTCTGTCTGTTCAGAGGATTCTTAATAAACAACCCATGTGGTTGGAATTGCAGATGTAAGTGTGAACTTTGCATCCAAACATGCAGGGATCAACATCTGACCAGGGGTCAAATTCTGTGTTTATACTTAGAGTCAGTTTAGGGCCAGAAGAGACCACTAGATTATCTAGTCTGATCTCCTAAACGTGACAGGCCACCACCACCCACACTAAACACAACCACCAAAAATCGGATCAAAGTATTACAGCTCCCAGAAGACTAGACTATTATGTCTACCCCTGGCAGAGAACAGAAGGGCCTGAGGAGCACCATTGCCTCTGGCCCCCCAGAAAAGACAGGGAAATGATTAAGTGAGATATACGCTGACAATCCTGGCAAATGACCCGCATCTGCACATTGCAGAGGAAGCCCAAAAAACCCCAAAGTCACTGCCAATCTGACCTGGGGGAAAGTTCCTTCTTGTCCCCACATATGGTGATCAGTTAGACCCAGAGCATGTGAACAGAAAACCACTAGCCAAGCACCTGAGAGAAAGAATGGTTGGTGCTGCCGCATTTATGATAGACAGGTGTAAATTTGTTTTTACTTCATATTCCATTCATTCTGTTAACTTATTTATATAACTCTGAAAACTTGAAATCTTTGTTCATTTTCTCATAATGCTTTCTCCAACCCTTTCTTTGCCTTTTTAATAATTCTTCGTGCTGCTGCTTTACATCTTGTATAGTTCAGTAAGTCCTTGCTATTCATTGTACTCGTTGCTTGCTTGTATGCCTTATTTCTTTCTTTAATTGCTGCTTTACAATCTTCGTTCCACCAGGGAACTGGATTTTGGAGTTTGTGGCAATTTGATGTCTTACCTGTGGTGAGGTTGGCTGCTGCTACAACTCCCTTTATATTATCATTGAAATTCCTCTAGATTTTTACTTATAGAATTGGTACTTAGATTCTCAGCACACTTACTCTTTAAGAGTCCCCAGTTTTCATTTCTAAGGCTCCAGGTAGGAACTCCTGCAGTGGCCTTCCCATTCCATCATCTTTACAGATTTCCCAGCTACATTTAATTATTATGTTGCTTGTTGCAATTCCCAGCTCTAAACATGAAAATGTTCTAGCCACTGAATTAAACCTAGAAGGTGCTCCAGTATTGAGCTATACCAGATTGGGTATGTCAATGAACTGTTCCAGGCATTTGCCATTATAATAAGTTTTTCTGCTTCCCCATAATTCATTATGGCTATTAAGGTCTCCACAAATAATATATGGGCCTATGACACCTTTAACTATCTCTTCCAGTTCTAGATTGCCTAGTTTGTTTACATGGATTGTAAACATTCTAGATAGGTATTAAGGTACTGTTATCTGCAGAGGACCCTCAACAGTATTGAACTCAAGATTTATATTCTGTATATCCATGTGAATGTAGCTAAGACCTTCCTTTATAAATATACAGATCCCCTCCTCCTCCTGTTATTTCTGTCACATCTGAGGACATCATAGCTGCCAGTCTAAACAAATATAACTTTTCTCACCGTCTAGGTTTCTTGTACTCATATCACATCAGGTTTGCTTTCCCATTTTACAAAACGGTTTTCTTTTATTCCTGTCCATGCATTATTAAACTATGTGCATTCTAGGAAAAAAAAAACCACCATTAGAATCACATTGCTTAAACTACATTTTTACCTTCATTTAAATTTGCATGCATGCAGCCTATCAAGAGATTGGCTATATCCAAATACTTTCCTGTGGCTTTTGTTATAATTTTTATTCTTTCAGTCTTCTTCCCTGTCTGTAGAGTACAATTACTCACTTCTTTCATAAATGCTATAAATTTATCTTTACCTACAAGCCATATATTTTCATCTATCCCCCTTATGTTATCTTTCCTGCCCTGAACTGCATATTATTTTACCAGTAGCTCTTTTCCCTCACTGGCATTTTCCTCTTTCTCCATATTATGCTGTGAATTTTTTTTGGTAGCTTCTGCATAGGCTGTTTTATGGATAGTTTTATGTATCTCCCTGGCTCATTCCGCTGCCACGCACACTTTGTATGATGCACTGGGCTTATCCCCACCACTGCTGCATTTTAGTTGTTCCTTCTACACAGTTCTCATACAAGTGTTCTCCTCCACACCTTACAGAGAGCCACCACATGCCTAAATCTTCGACATTTATAACATCTCAAAGGAGCCAGGCTGTGTGGCTTAACCCAGAAGAACAGATACCCTATATTAACCCTATCAGGCAGCACTGCACCTTTGAATGTTATTCAGACAGTTGTAGACGTTGTGTGTTCTCCCCTCTCTTGCTAATCAGTCACTTAACAAACAGCACTTGGTCCTGACTTGTGCCCTTTTAATTTCATCCTCAATCATGCCTAGTGGATCCCTCTATGTTACCACTCTTGCTTCTGTCATAAATTTAAGTGGCTGGCAAATTACTCTTTTTTTTTCCTAAAATTGTAGTTTTAAGAATTTTCTCAGCCTATTTCTTATGTGTACATTCCACTAATAAGTCTCTATGCCGCATTCTTTTAGCGCTTAATAGATCTGCAATACTTCATGTGACCCATTCTGCTGTTTTCAAGGGATTAACATCTTCTATTCTTATATCTTCCACTAATAATTTGTTGATTAGAATGTTGATCCTATTCCTTACTCTTTTTTTTTCCCATTCCCTGCCTGCTTCTGGTTTTTCAGATACTGATATTTCTATTTCCTCCCCCACTTCTTCCTACTCTGAAGCCATTTCTCATCCCTTGCTTCTCCCTCATTTGCCAGCATAACTTTCAGCCTTTCTCTTTCAGCCTGTATTTCCAGCTCTGTTCAGCCCGTCCAAGCTCTCAGCTTACCCTAGCCAACTAGCCACAGTACCATAGCCCAACTAGGGTTGCCAGGCATCCAGTTTTCGACCGGAACACCCAGTCCAAAAAGAACCCTGGCAGCTCCGGTCGGTACTGCCGACCAGACCATTAAAAGTCCGGTCAGCGATGCAGCGGGGGCCCAGGACTAAGGCAGGCTCCCTACCTGCCCTAGATCTGCATGGCTCCCGGAAGTGGCCGCCAGAGAGGCTCCACGCGCTACCCCGCTCCGAGTGCTGGCTCCGCAGCTCCCATTGTCTGGGAACCAGGACCAATGGGAGCTGTGGGGGGGGGCACCTGTGGGCATGAGCCTCCCTCGCTGCCCACATGCCTACGGGCTGCAGCAACCTGGAGGCCGCTTCCTGGGAGTTGTGGTAAGTGCTGCCAGAACCCCGCATCCCAAAACCCCTCTCGCACCCCTACCCTCTAGCCCAGCCCAGAGTCCTCTCTAGGGTTGCCAGGTGTCCTGTTTTTGACTGG